AAGCTAGGTGCCCTCGCGTCATATCTGACGTCCTACCCCTCCCCTCCATCCCTTACCATGGCGCTGATTTTCTCTATCCGCGGACGCGTGTCGTAGCGGACCTGTGGCTCCGCGCGCGCGTGCGTAGTGGGTGGTGGTGCACGTGCGTGCGTGCGTGCGTGCGTGTGTGCGTGTTGTGGTGGTGGTGGTGGTGGTGGTGGTGCTGGTGGTGGTGCTGGTGCTGGTGCTGGTGCTGGTGCTCGTGCTGCTGGTGGTGGTGCTGGTGCTGGTGGTGGTTGTGATGGTGGTGGTGGTGGTGGTGGTGGTGGTGGTGGTGGTGGTGGTGGTGGTGGTGGTGGTGGTGCGGCGCGGTGGTGCGGCGCGGTGGTGGCGGGCGGATGGGCGCGCGAGAAAGAGGCCCGCGCTGGGGCGAGAACGCCATCCTGAACGACGGAGGCCAAACACCGATCCGAAAATGAGGCCCACGCTGCAGCGGGAGCACGATTCGGAACGATTCGGGAGCAGAAATGAGGCCGGCGCCTCAGCGAGAGCAGCATTTTAGAAAAAAGCACAAGCGAAAACCCAACTCCGGGGAAACCTGTGTGTAAAAAACAGTACGCGGGGGGGTGCCGAATATCTTCCGGACGCCATCAGGGGAAGTGGGAGAGTATTTTCATATTGTGTAATTGTGGAGGAGCAGGAGGAGGAGGAGCAGGAGGAACAGGAGGAGGAGGAGGAGCAGGAGGAGGAGGAAGAGGAGGAGGAGGAGGAGCAGGAGCAGGAGCAGGAGCAGGAGCAGGATCAGGAGCAGGAGCAGGAGGAGGAGGAGGAGGAAGAGGAGGAGGAGGAGGAGGAGAAGGAGGAGGAGGAGGAATAAAACTACTATTAATAAGAAGAATAATAAGAATCATAAGGCGAATACTAGTAAGAATAATAATAACACGAATAGTCATAAGAAGAATAATCATAATAAGAATAAGAAGAATACGAAGAAATAGACTCAGACGAATAACATGACTAATCATAATAAGAAGAATAATGCGAATCATAAGAAGAATGCGAAGATCAAGGCGAATACTAATAATACTAAGAAGCGTAAGAATCATACTATTTCGAATAATAAGAGTGATAAGCATAATAAGAAACATAGTAATAATAATAATAATAAGAAGAAGAATATTAAGAACAGTCACAACACGAAGACTACCACTAATAATAATAATAACAATAAGAATAATATGGCTAAGAATAATAATACTACTTTTATTATTATTATTAATAATAATACTAATCATTCTACGAAGAAGAATAATAATGATACTAAGAAGAAGAATGCGAAGAACACGAATAATAATAATGATAAGACGAAGAAGAAGCAACATACTACTAATAATAATACTAAGAAGAATACTAATAAGAATAAGAAGAAGAATAATAATAATAATAATAATAATAATAATAAGGAACAAAAAAAAGAACAATAATAATAAGGACAATAATAAGAGTAAGCAGAATACCACTAATACTAATAATAATAATATTATTATTACTAAATACAAATAACAGATCATAATCTATAAGTTAATTTGAATAGTTTGTAGATTTTGAAATAGATGTGGTGGAGGAATAACAATAATAATAAGAGTAATAATAAATACTGAAGAATAATAATATATAAGTAATAATAATAAGAATAATAAGATAAGAAGAAGAAGAGTATCCTATACTACTAACTAACTACTAATAATATTTTTTTGGGTTTGTTTTAAAAAACTATATAACAATAATCATAAGAATACTAGACTAATAGAAGAATACAATAATAATAATACTAACAATACTACAATAATCATAATAATACTATAATAATAATAATAATAATAATAATATCATAAATAAGAAGAAAGGAGGTAGGATTATGAGTTAGGAGGATTATTATTAGTTATGATGAGTCTTAGTAGTATAGGCCGTCTCCACCCTGCCCAGAAACGCGCGGTTGCCGGTCTCGGGAGCCCGTCGGCGATGCATCGGCGGCGCGTCGCCGGTTCCAGGCCGCCCCCCGAGCCAGTCCCCCCGTGCCGGCTCTGATCGCGTCTGGCCAGCGGCGGCTTCGGCGAGCATGGGCGGCAGCACGCCTTGGCCCGTGGAGCCAGGGCTGTGCGTGGGCGAGTTCATCCTGCTGCGCTGTCGCGCGTGTCCGGCCCTTTGCTGTGCGGGGGGTGGGCGCTCCCGAGCGGCGGCAGGCGGTCTGGGACAGCGAGTGGCGCTGCGCTTTCCAAAACCGCCAGGGCGCGTGCGCTGCAGGCATCAGGAAGCGGCGAGGGCTCATGGTGACGCGCGAGGCTGCGGCACCGTGTCCTCGAACGCAGCGAGACGATCCATCGGCCTCCACTGGGAACACGACTTGTTGTTGGTATGTTTCACCGCGTGTGTATGTTTCGCCGAAAACGCAGGGGCCCAGAGCAACAACCAACCGCATGCTGGGCTCCATGCGCCCGCGGTTCCAACACTTGCTTCCAAAGAAGCGAAGTTAACCCAGCGCGGTCCCCTGTATATGTGTTGACATGTATGCATGCATACATGCATGCATGCATGCATGCATGCATGTATTTCTGTGTACATGCACGTATACATATACACATACGTATACATGGGCAGATACTCCCCAAACAGTGCTGGCATTTCGGGGTTCTTATTCCCAGCCATCCTCTGGTGTTGGGTCCTCGTTGTGAAGAGACAGCGCCCCGCGTCTCACACCTCCCCCCGCTCTCTCCTCCTCCTCCTCCTCCTCCTCCTCCTCGTCCTCCTCCTCCTCCAATCCCAACCCTGCCTTTACCCTCCGCGTGTCACTGTTTCGGCACACCTCTCTCGTGTTTCGTAGCCCCACAGGGAGCTCCACCGAAGACCCCAGTGGCAGGGTTCACATGCGTCCGCGCAACCCACTTCAGCACACCCTTCACACGTCTCGTGACAGGGTCCACACGCGTCCGCAGGGCCAATTTCCATTTCGGCACACCCCTCACAAGGTTCATGACCCCACAGGGACGTCTCGTGATAGGGTCCACATGCGTCCGCCGCGCCCATTTCCACTACGGCACACCCCTCTCACGTTCCATGGCCCCTCGGGGGGATCCACCGAAAGCTCCAGTGGCAGGGTCCACGCGCGTCCGCCCGATCCATGTTGGCGCACCGCTCAGACGTTTCGTGGCCCCGCAAGGAGCTCCACGAAGGCCTCTGGGGGTCCACATACACCCCTCACAAGTTCGTGGCCCCATAGGGAGCTCCACCGAAGGTCAACGCCTCCCCCTCCCCCCACTGATCAAAGTTGGTGGTCGGCCTGATGAGTTGCACTTCGACCGCAGCCTCCCCCGCGCGTGCCAACTTTGAGTTTTGGGGAGGGGGGTAGTGTCAGCTCATTGCTTCCCCCTAACGTATCACACCACAGTTACATCACAGCAAGCGTGCCATCACACATCGGCGCATGCCGTCGCGCAGCCCACCTCTCGCACGGCACGGCACGGCACCGCACGGCGCAGCCCCGCGCAGCACGGCACGGCACCCGCGCGAGGAGCGGCCGCGCCCGTGTTTCGGACGAGAACCGGCCCGCCGTGGGCCTGGCGGACGGGGGGGTTGCCCACGAATCATGCAGCATCACCCTCCATAGGGGGCCACATGCGAACCCTACCCCTACCCCCCACGATTTCTGAGGGGGAGGGTGGGGTTCACTTCGTTTGGGAGCTCCCGAGCGAAGTGAACCCCACCCTCCCCCTCAGAAATCGTGGGGGGTAGGGGTAGGGTTCGCATGTGGCCCCCCTACTCCAGGCAGGCCCGGTCGGGGAGCGAGCAACAGAAGAGGGACGAGCCCGACGCCAAAGGCGGCCGCCGCACGGCGCGGCGGCGGCGGCTCCTGGGCATGGGCGTCAACGAGGCGCTGGCGGTGGTGCAGCGCATGGGGAGCCTGGACACCGCGGAGCTCAGCTTCGATGAGCGGGGCTCGCTCGACACCGACCTCTGCCTGCGGCTGCCGGCACTCGGGGCCCAGCTGTGCTTCGACGCCTTCCAGCAGGACCTCCGGGTCATCGTGGTGCGCTTCAGGCACGGAGCCTCGTCCCGCGAGGGCAGCGCGGACGGCGAGGAGCAGGGCTGGACCTGAACGCTGCTTTGCCGGACTTACTTACGCAGGCCGAAAGATTTTCCTCTTGAGCCCCACATGTCGGAAGCGACGCGCCGATCCCCTCTGTTCTCCTCCCACCTCCTCTTGCCTCTTCCCTCATCCTTCCCCTGTTCATCCTGGGAAGACCCCCCTCCCCCGTAGAATCATAGCATTGGTCTGCAGATCCACAGCTCCGTGGATAGCATGGAGCTTCACTTGCGGTGCTCCGCGGATCCCATTTCCCTTGGGTCCCGGATGTTAATTATTATTATATATTGATTCCGGGGAAATGCATGGATCCATCGTTTTTCACACATAGGAAATTAGATCCGCACAACACAGAAATAGGATCCACGAAACTCTCCCGCACCCGAAAAGGGATCCAATTGGATCCATTGGTGTTCTCATATTTTAGTCCAAGAGGAAAAAACTTTCGGCCTGGGGATGTAGGCTGTGCATTGTTCTTCGTGTTGGCAGGGAGGTGCAGGATAATAGGTCGAGCAACACGAGAAAACGGAAACAGAACGAGCACAGCACGAAAAACAACGTTCAGGTCCAGTCCTGGCGAGGAAGGCTGCCCCAGCCTTGCCGCGCTGCCGCCGCTCGCCCACGCGGGGCGGCCCTTTGGAGGCATGCAGCAGCGCTCCCTCAGCCTGCGGGACATCTACGCGATGTTCGGCCTCACCTGGATCGGCGAGTTCAGGCCATAGGGGAACGAACAATGACATGAACATACCAACTCGGAGGTCCGCGCGGATTTCTCGGATAGATGCTGGAGCCCCCCGGCGGCGCCTCCGGCGCCGCCCCTGGCGCGCTCCGCGCGCCAGGGAGGGGGGTTCCAGCGCCGGTCCGAGACATCCGCGCGGACCTCCGAGTTTTCATGCTTCTGTCGTCGTTCTCTCCCCTAAGGCCAGGGGCCGAGGCAGCGTACCTGTTGAAGTACCGCGGTCTTCAGGAGGGAAAGAAGCACACAGACACAATTAATCGTCGATTCCCCTGGGAAATATGGGAAAATATGGGAAGTGGGGGGGAAGACAAAAACTCAGAAAATATAGGAAAATATGGGAATCTTTTTATTTGTGTATTGATTTGTGTGTTCTGGAGCCCCTTTAGGTCTCACGTTCGAGTTCCCGCTGCCGGAGGACGCGGTGGAGGCACTGGAGGCGCAGGGCGGGCAGCCGATGGAGCTGCCGGGGGGCGGTGCGCCGACGGCCTGCTGCATGTGGGTCTACGCGAAGGAGTCCCCGTCCTTCCTCGAGCCGGCGCCGCCGCTGCAGGACGCGTTCCTGGAGAAGGTGGTGCACGAGCGGGGAGCACATCCGTGTCCTCCTCCTCCTCCTCCTCCTCCCTCCTCCTCCTCCTCCTCCTCCTCCTCCCCTCCTCCTCCTCCTCCCCCTTCCTCCTCCCCTCCATCCCCTCCTCCGCCCTCCTCCTCCTCCTCCTCCCCTCCTCCTCCTCCTCCTCCTCATGTACTCTCCTCCTGCCTCCTCCCCCCCTCCTCCTCCTCCTCCTCCTCCACTCCTCCTCACCTCCTCCTCCTCCTCCTCCTCCTCATCCATTTCCCTCATTGTCCTCCTCCTCCTCCTCCTCCTCCTCCTCCTCCTCCTCTTGCCCTCGCTGTCTGGACTCCGGGGCGCGATCCCGCGGGTTACGCGGTCGCAGGGATCGCGCCCCGTATCCGCGGGGCCGCGGACCACGGGGCCCGGACCGTGAGGCCGCGGACGCGGATATGCTTGTCGCAAACGGCAGGTGGTGGTGCGGCCTGCCTCGGGCGTGGAGATCGGGGGCCGCCTGCTGCAGTTCGGGTGCACGCCGCAGGACATGCTCTCGGACTTCGGGCCGCCGGAGCAGGTCTGCCTGAAGGACAGGGACGCGGTGCGCACGCACTCCGCCAGCGCCCTGCCCTCGCACTCGTTCGGGCCCGACTACTTTTACAACTATTTCCGTATGGGCTTCGACGTGCTCTTCGACGGGCAGACGCATCTCATGAAGAAGGTGATCCTTCACACCAACCCGCCTACACACGAGCTGTTCTCGCGGTACTCGAGATGCTTCTTCCAGCTGCCTGTCGCCCTGTCTGCGCCTCGCTCCGACGAGGGCCACGACGAAATCGGCGATCTCGTCTTGGACGGCGACGGCAGCGGTGTGGAGGAGGACCTGGACGCCGACAGGGAGCCAGCCGGGGAGGCTGCAGAGGCCAGCTCCAGCGAGTCTGTGCAGTCGGCCGGGGCCGGTGCATCCCAGGACAGCGACTGCGAGGACGCGCCCCCCGAGCGGGAGGGCAGCGGTGCATGTGGCGCCGCGGAGGCCGGGCGGCCGCTGGTGGGGCAGGCGCGCGGGGCGGACGGCGAGGTCCCGTCGGGGAGCGACAGCGAGGGCGAGTGCAGACGGCGGCGAGACGAGGAAGCAGGGCCAGCGCTCACGCACCGCGGCGCCGCCGAGCGCGAGGCCGCTGGCCCGCCTGGCGGGGGGTCGGCCAGGGAGTCGCCCCGCTCCGCGGGGCCCTCGCCGCTGCTGGCCATGCTCGACAAAGGCGCCCCGGGCGGCCTCGGCGCAGGCCTGGGCGCTGGCGCGCCGCAGGGCGAGGGCAGCGGTGCCTGCTGGGGCGATCAGCCACCAGCGGTGCTGCTCCTCCTCCTCCTCCTCCTCCTCCTCCTCCTCCTCCTCCTCCCTCCTCCTCCTCCTCCTCCTCCTCCTCCTCCTCCTCCTCCTCCTCCTCCTCCTCTTGGCGGCGCGCAAAACGGGGTAGGGGGAGGGGGGAAGGCTTCTTAGAGCGCCCTGCTGCTTAGAAGGCCTCGGCCTTACGTCTATTGAGAAGGCCCGCGCCCTTCTAAGAAGCAGGGGTGCTTCTAAGAAGCCTTCCCCCCTCCCCCTACCCCCCTCTGCGCGCCGCCAATCCTCCTCTCCTCCTCCTCCTCCTCCTCTCCTCCTCCTCCTCCTCCCTCCTCCTCCTCCCTCGTCCCCCCCCTCTCCTCCTCCTCCTCCTCCTCTCCTCCTCCTCCTCCTCCTCCTCCTCCTCCTCCTCCTCCTCCTCCTCCTCCTCCCTCTCCCCCTGGGGCGCAGCAGGGCGACTGGCCAGCCACGGCGGGGACTGCGACGGCGCTCGGCGGCGAGGGCCAGCCCGGAGGCGGGCCAGGTGCGCCCTCGGCGCCGCAGCGCCCGGCGCGGGGCTCGCCGGCACCGCCGGAGCCGCGCGACACGGCTTGCGAGGAGGCCGAGGGCCCGGGAGATGGCGGCGCGCAGCTCTGCATCGACGTGCGGTGGTCCTGGACCGAGATCCAGCATGCTCTCAGCACCCGGGGGGGCTGCGAGTGCGGCAGGCCGCTCGTCCTGAACGCCCAGGGGCACACGCCCTTCGGGAGCACGTACTTCTACGTCCTCCCTGGGCTCGCCTTCGAGGTCATGGAGAACGACTTCTTGGCGTCCCTGACCGTCTTCAGCGTGCCCGCCAGGGAGCTGCCGGCGGCCTTCCTGCTCCCACAGGCAGACGCGGCAGCCTCCGCAGCGTGACAGCCAGCGCGTGCCCCCCTCTTCCTCGCCGACCTGCATTGCCCTTCTCGACCTCGCCTCCGTCTCCCCTCCCCCCGTCCCCCTGGTCAATCGCAGCCATTGCCCTCATTTAGGGGAACAAAAGGTGACATAAACATAGTCATCCCAATGCGACCCTACCTAGGAGTTGGAGCATTTAGGAAAGCAACATCTACATCTACACCGACAGCTACATTTACATCTACACCTGCATCTACATCTACATCAACATCAACAGCGAGACTCAAATCTACATCTACATCTACACCTACATCTATGCCATGTTATGCTGTGCTATGCGATGCTATGCTATGATGTGCTGTGCTATGCTAAACAATGCTATTCTATGCTATGCCATGCTATGCTGCGCTATGTTATGCTATGCTATGCTATGCTATGCTATGCTATGCTATGACATGCTGAGCTATGATATGTTATGATATGCTATGCTATGCTATGCTATGCTATGCTATGCTATGCTTGGCTTTACTATGCTATGATATGCTATGCTATGCTACGCTGTGCTAATGCTGCGCTGCGCTATGCTGCGCTGCGCTATGCTGCGCTGCGCTAAGCTAAGCTATGCTAAGCTAAGCTAAGCTAGGCTAAGCTAGGTTAGGCTAAGCTAAGCTAAGCCAGGCTAGGCAAAGCCAAACTAAGCTAAGCTAAGCTAAGCTAAGCTAGACTAAGCTAAGCTAAGCTAAGCTAAGCTAGGCTAGACAAAGCTAAACTAAGCTAAGCTAAGCTACGCTAATATGAGATAAGCTAAGCTAAGCTAAGCTAAGCTAAGCTAAGCTAAGCTAAGCTAAGGGGACGTAACTGGGGGAACCGCGGGGCGGATCCTGGGGGAACCGCCCGGGGCGGGTTACACTGCCCGGCCCTTTAAGCACACCGAGTAAGAACCCTTCTAGGCAGAGCCTAGGTCGGGAAAAACTCGGAGGTCCGCGCGGATTTCTCGCATCGGCGCTGGACCCCCCTCCCTGGCGTGCGGAGCGCGCCAGGGGCGGCGCCGGAGGCGCCGCCGGGGGGCCCCAGCGCCGATCCGAGAAATCCGCGCGGACCTCCGAGTTTTTATGTTTATGTCATTGTTCGTTCCCCTATCATCCGACGGCAGCCGGCGCTCGCTCCGCCGCGCCCCCTGCTGGTTGCCGCTGCTGCCAGGGGGGGCGCCTGGGGCAGAGAGATCGGGGGCGGAAAAGAGGGGGGTGATGGCTAGGGGGGGGTGGATCTCATGACGTGGGCTATGATATTTCCCCAGATTTCATGGCGCCTCTTCTGATTTCGTTACGTCCCTGGTCCCCCCGCTGGGCTGCGCACATGCCGACGGTCATGATTTGCACCCCCCCTCTTGGACACCCCCCTCTTGGCCGCTCCCGAAGAGAGGGAGAGAGAGAGAGAGAGAGAGAGAGCGCACCGCTTCGGGCCGAGTCGCCGTCCAGGCCCCCGAGCCACCACGTGCTCAAGGCGGACCCGCCTCGCGATGCGGGATGCGCCGCATGCTAAGTTCTGCCGCGCGCCAATGGGGGGTAATAGGGGGAGGGGGGACGGATTCTAAGAAGCAGCCCCTCCTTCGAAGATGCCTTCCCCCTCCTGCCCCCCTGTGCGTGCCGCCCTTAAGCAGGGGTGGTGGGATAACCTTCCACTGAGGAGGACTACTGGGGGTCCCAGGCCAGGAAAGAGATATGGTCGGCGGTGATCAGGTCCCACGGGGGCCCGCCTGCGCCACCGTACGCAGGGAGGCGCCGGCTTCACAGCGTGGTTTGGCATGCACGCTTCGGCGCCCTGCGAAGAGAGGCGCCGCCTTGGGGCGTCCCCCCGCAGCGGCACAGAGGAGGCAGACAACTGAACAGGTGCCAACTGTTCACGGGGTCCGTATGGGAGGGGCCTGGCACTGGTGTGCCGCCTCTTGGGATTGGAACAGATTCTGGGGATAACCCGGGAGGGTCGTCCTTCTGGTCGCATCAGAATCGGAACCCCTCTGAGCGAGAGCCCAGGCCTCCTTTGCACGAGGGAGCCTGTCTACGGGCGGTGCTGACTGTTCCTGTGTCTGGGGAAGGGACGTCACCAGCTGGTTGGCGCGCTGGTTGAGTGCCTGAATGCTGGCAGTGAGAGTCGTCTCGCGGTCTTTTTGTCGCTCGTGACTGGTCGCCGTGAGGTGCTGGGCGAGGGCGCTCCTCCGACCAGTACGAGATGCTCCGCGGCCAGGCGGTTGCCAGCCCCCCTGCTGGGTGGCATTAGGGCCCATGGTCTTCGTTCCCTGGAGGGGCTGGGGGTTTGCCGTTCTTGCTTTGACCCATCTTGATGGAGTGGTGGAGGCGTGACGAATGGTTTTACGAATAGATGACCGACACGCATCGCTGCTGGCAAGGCACCGTGGACCGATGATACCAGCAAGTACTGCATGGACCTCGATGACGTCAGGCAGAGAAGCCGTCCGTATCCGAGTCAGGGTGCCGAGCCATTGGCTTAACATGAGGAAGAATGGTCACGTGTCCGTGCAGGCCAAGGGCGCTGCACGCAACATGTTTTGGCCACGAGTCGGCAATGGTCGGCGTAGCCCATATCCGAAAACAGGCCAGGCACCAGCGTCGGCTAGGGCTAACCGCTCTGTCCAACAGGAGGTGTTCACACGTGGCGGTATGCTGGCGTATGCCACCGTGACAACCAACAACCAAGCATGAAGCCCCTACCTTTTCTATCCTTTCCTGTGTTCGCAGGTAGAATTGGTAACGCACTCCGACTGTCGGACTATTGGAGAAGGCTAAAACCTTCATCATCGTTCTTCGTCCGACGTTACCGCCTTGACCAACGGATACTCGGGAGGGGATCGGCCCTTCGGTCAACCCTTCTCCACACAGAAGGATCGTCGGATGTCGTCTGGCGTGTTGGCCGTAGTGTCTCGTGCCCACTTTTTGTAATGGATGAGGTCGAGGGGGTTGGTTCGGGGATTGTGGATCGCGGTGTTCCTGTTGGGCGCGCCAGGGTTTTGGGCCCCCTCGGGCCTTGAGGCTGTGAGTCTTTGGCAGCCGCGTGGCGTCGATCCACTCTGGTGGGAGTCGGCTCCTGCAGCGGCGTAGGTGGCCGACGGGCCTCGTCGTCGCCCCCTTGCGGCTCGTCTTCAAAGGGGCACTCCGCTTCCGATGTGGTTGCAATGGGGCGTTCGGCGTCACCGCCTCCAACGCACTGCAGGATAGGCGGTGTGGTTGGGTGGTTTAGTGGCTTCGGCCTCGGGTGCGGGAGTGCGGCCCGGCTGCGGCCGGCTTCCATGCTGGCCTCGTCCGCCAGCCGTGCCTCACGGCGGTGCTGTCATGGCGTGGGGCGCGGCGGGTGAGAGCGCGACTGCTCGGAGGGCACCAACTATACACCAACACCGATCCTGGCCCAGGATCACCCTGGGCCCAGGATCAGTGTATATGCCTTCTTGCGCAAGGCAGGAGGGCGTATACACCGATCCTGGGCCCAGGGTGATCCTGGGCCAGGATCGGTGTTGGCGTATAGTTGGTGCCTTCCTAACTGCCTCCGTCCGCTTCTGAGCGGAGGGTTCGCTGAGGGCGGGGTTGGGGGCGCTGGCCCTGGTGGGCGTCGTGGCCCAAGTTCCCCCTGTGCAGCAGCGACGGGGCACAGCGCCCAGCGGTCCGTGGCCGAGGCGCCGTCCGACGGTGCGAGGGTCCGTGGTGAACCGAAGGCCTGTCAGAAGAAGGATGCCCACGCTGAGTTTTTCAGGTTTCCAGTGGGTTTGGGCAAAGAGTTTGGCCCGACAGCCCGCTCGGATAATTGGTGTCTACCACTTGGCCGATGCTGGGGCCGATTGTGTCAAGAGCGGTGCGCAGACAGTGCCTGATGGTGGTGTTCCCAGTCGCGGTGCCGCTGGTGGTGGTGCTGGGTGTGAGAGTGGGTTCCCTCGCTGGTGTGCGGATGGGGGCGCGCGTGATTCGACTCGTCTGGACGGGCGGCGAGGGCGGGCCGCTGGTGCTGCCGACTCTCATGGCTAATTAGGGCGACCGCGATGCAGAACAGGGCTCCGTTGCAACTCGCGCGCGTGGTGGCGGCCGAGATGTCGTGGCGCCAATATCGCAGAGCGGATTTCGTTCGGAAAACAATGGCAGGATTTCGCAGTTTTTTGGTTGTTATCGTTGTTTGGTTTTCTGTGTTTATTATTATTATTATTATTGTTATTCTTATTATTATTAGTACTATTATTACTATTATTACTATTACTATTATTATTATTATTATTATTATTATTATTATTATTATTATTATTATTATTATTATTATTTATTATTCATTATTAGTTATTATTATTATTATTATTATTATTATTATTATTATTATTATTATTATTATTATTATTTATTATTCATTATTTATTTATTATTATTATTATTATATTTTCATGTAAAATCCAGGAATGAAGATTAAAACAATCCACGTGGAATTCACTTCGTTTTTCGCTCGCCGTTTCGGGGCTTTGCATTGACGGAAATCCACGCAAAAATTCGCTGCAGCACGTCTGCAATGTCGGTGCAGTGAGAGATGGGGGCTAGCCCGTCAGGCGCAGGTCCCAGTGCCCTCGGTCCCCCATCGTCGACCTGATGGCCCGCCTATCTCCCGCACCCAGGAGGCGCGCCTGTAATGGCTCCAGCTTTCCCGAGGGCGCCGATTAGGATCTTGAGCAGCGCATCGGTGACGTCGATAGGAGGATATCGAGGGTCTGGTGACCTCGCGTGGTCTTGGTTTTCGGTAGTGGTGGGCCCTCTGGTCCAGGTGGCCGGCGGGGTGACTCGCAGGGGCCCTCCGTGCCGAGGCTCATGATGATGCCGAGGGCGCAGGCGATGCGTGGTGGCAAGCGGGGCCCGCTGTTGCTGCCCGGGGGCCTTCGTCGTGATTGGGTCCGCGCGGCCATGCGTCGACATCGGTGTAGTCAGTGTAGAAAGAAACTCGTTCAAGTGACTCGTCGCCTGGTGGCGTTTGTGGCGCCGGTATGTTCGCTGCCGCCTCTTTGCCAGCGTGGCGTCGTAGGATGTTGGCGAACTGTGGGGTGCCAAGTGGAGGTGGTGCCAGGTCCTGGTGGGCCCCAGCGTAGCAGTCAACAGTATTTCGTCCCCACTGGTGGCTGCGTTGCTGCTGTTGCAGTTCACCACTTCACGCTCGCCAGTAGTGGTGTTTTGTGGCCTTCGGTCATGGCTCTGTTGGTTTCTGCGTGGCTGCAGCAGTGGCGCCTCCGTGGTGGTGCCGCCCATGCGTGACCAGGTAGGCTCCGCGGTCTGGGTAGGATAGCCTAGTTAAAGTGCGTCGTTCGTAGGCTCTGGTTAGCCCGGTATTTTGCCAGGCCGTAAGGCTGAGTTCGTGGGTTCTCCTTGCCGGGACGGTGGGTCGTTGCTGCGTCGCTGGGGGTTGACCATGATTTTGAATGTGAGATGTTGAGGGTCTTCCGCAGCGCGGCCTTTGCTGGTTTTCATCCACTCGTGGAAGGCGCCACTTTCTTTGGTCCCGCGGTGGCCAGATCGCGGCAGTGTTGCGCGTGCGGTCCAGTAGGAGCTGTCTGCGCTGGTGTGCCAGCCTCTGCCTCATGCAGCCTCGGCGCTGTTGTGGCTTGTAGCCGAGATTGGTGCGTGTAAGAACGCTCGCTTTGTCAGGGTCTTCGATCGGGTCGTTAGTGAGACAGCCGTCGCCATCGGGGTCTTGGATGGGGCCGTCAGCATTATTGCGTTGGTCGTTTGTTTCGCGTCTGTTGCCCCTCGACCCTTTGGTGCGTGCATCTTGTATTTGTTTTCGTTGATGCGTCGTGGCCAGGGGGCTGGTGCCCCGGAGTGTCGTGTCATTGCCAGCCCCGTTGATGACGTTGGAGCTGGTTGGACAGCTGGACATGCAGCCATGGCCCCGTGTGGAGCAAGGGCGGTGTTCGTGGGTCCCGTTGGCCAAGGCGTGGACGTAGCGCGTTGTTAGTCAGCGCCGCGTTTGCTTCGTCGGAGGAGCTGGTGTGCGTCGCGCGGGTGGCGAAAGTCCCTACTGTTGTTGGATCTGCTTGGTTCGGGTTGTTGCTCGTCTGGGCAGCTTTTTTGCCGAGGCTTAGGCTCGTGGTGCAGAGACTCGGACGAGACCTCAAGGGTGGCTTGATGCTGCTCGCCGCCGTCGCTGGCAAAAGCGAGAGATGCACGGCTTCCGCTGCAAGGGTCATTGCGTGGAACATGGTGGCGCTCCTGGATGGGCGCCCCAAGGAGGGCTGGGCGCCACTCAGAGGGGCGTTGACGAGCAGCCTCCGGGTGTGCGCGAGAGCGCCCCTGTGCGCGAAGCACGCGAGGAGGCCGGGCGCAAGCTGGCGGGCGCCGGCGCGCGGCGGCCACGGCGAGCGTCTTTGGGCGCCAACTGCTGCGGGCGGAGGCCGCGAGCAAGGCAAGAGAAGGCGCGGGCAATAGTCGGGGTCGGCCCCTGGGCGACGATGGCAAGTAGATGCGGTGCGCGCGTGGCAAGGGGCCCCTTCAATATGGCCCTGTCGGGGGGGGGGGGCATGGGCCTCCCGATGCCTCCTTGTTCAGGTGCGTGCGCGTCTCCTCCCGTGTCCTGGTTGCTCGGTGAGTCCCTGGGGCCGGTCGCGCTGGATGAGCCCGCGGTGTGTGGCGCCAAGTGTGGGGGGTGGGTGTGTGTGCACCGCTTGAGCTCTGGTCATCGTGGCGAGGGGTGTGCCGTTTGGCTCATCCAGGCCCTCTGGTCCGTGTTCAGGCTGGTCTGCTCAGTTTGAATCACGCGGGTCGCTCGCTCGAGATGGTGGCGTTGTTGCGCCATGGTGGCTTGGCTGGTGGCCGCGCTGGTGACAGTAGTTTCGAGGCGCTGAACCGTCTCGGCGAGCTGCCGTTGATCAGCTCCGAGCCCCCGCATCCTCGCGTCAGCTTGATCGGAGATGCCTTGCGTGCCTGGTTGAGAAGGCCACTCCTCGTCGGAGATTTCATCGCAGCCTGTTGCCGCGGGGGGTGTCGGTGCCTTCGATTCGGTCGGCTCCGGCCTCCATGCCGAGGTCGGCTGCGCCCTTTCTGGCAAGGTGGCTGTCGTCGATAAGTGTAGTGGTTTCCTTCTTAATATTGCTGGTTCGTTTGCAAGCGCCCAGAGGAGGAGGAGGAGGAGGAGGAGGAGGAGGAGGAGAGGAGGAGGAGGAGGAGGAGGAGGGAGGAGGAGGAGGAGGAGGAGGGGGAAGGAGGGGGAGGGGGAGGAGGAGGAGGAGGAGGATGAGGAGGAGGAGGGGAAGGATGAGGAGGAGGAGGAGAGGAGGAGGAGGAGGAGGAGAGGAGGAGGAGAGGAGGAGGAGGGGGAGGGGGAGGAGGAGGAGGAGGATGATGAGGAGGAGGAGGAGGAGGAGGAGGAGGAGGAGGAGGAGGAAGAGGAGGAGGAGGAGGAGGAGGAGGAGGAGGAGCTCGCTGGTGCTGCGCTGCTCATGTTCCGGTGACGGGGTGCTCGGTGACGGCCTTCGCTTTCCGGGCCTACTCGCGGCTGGAGCAGCGCCCCCAGGTGAGGTCTGTAGGGGACCACATGCGAACCCTACCCCTACCCCCCACGATTTCTGAGGGGGAGGGTGGGGTAGGGGTAGGGTTCGCATGTGCCCCCCTAGTCTGGTGGCCGCCTTGTCGCGCAGAGACTGGGGGGGGCCGTTCCCTATTCCTCCCGTGGGCGATGGTGGTCCCGCCACAGGTTTCTCCGTCACGGTGGTCCATGGCGAGACCATCTTGGCGACGGGACCTTTCTGCTGGGCCGCCTCGGCAGGGGATTTTGCTTCCAACCTGACGGTGGTCCATGGGGTGGTGGACCCAGGTGGGTCGTAGAATTTGGTGGAAGATGGGCGGCATTGACCATGGTGAAGTTGCCCATGGTGGCTCTGTCCCAGCCTGTGTGCGGTGCCTCGCAGTGCCACTGGATGTGAACACATGTGTGATTTGCGTCTTAATAGCGGTCTGCGGTCCAATCCCCGTGATGCGGTACTTAGCGTTGGCCAGTGAGGCGTCGGTTCCGCGTAATTCGAGAGCCGCTTGTTTCGCTCCCGGGTGTCCGATTTACCCTGATACCGACTCTCTTGTCCGCCCTTGCCGCTCCGAAGGCACTGTGCTTGGCGGAGATTCCTAAGGCTTGCCGGAGCATGGTCTGGTGGCCGCCAGTGTACCGCACGATGGTTTAATCATTGGGTTGTGGTTCTCGTCCGCGGTAGCCGACGTCGAACTGGATGCCCCCCTTGGCCCGACGCAGAGAGGACCAATGGGACATCGACTGGCTTGACACCGAAGAAGGTATCCGTTACCCAACGTTTCCCGACTGCTGTGCCATGGCTCTCTAGGAGTTTCACGTCTTCTGGACGTGTACGGCACGGAACTGGGACACGAACATGGCCGTGAATGTGTCGGTGAGGTCGTCGTCAGCCTGGATGCGCGCAGCATTCTTCCTGGCTGATTTGTTGCGCTCTTTTGCCTTTTGCTGCGCCGTGCCTGGTCCGCTTGGCTAACGGTTGCCGTGTACTGTTGCGGCGCCTGAGTATTGGGCTGTGAATAACTTTTCGAGTGCAGGTAAAACAGCGACGACGTCTGCCTCGCAAACAGGCCGCGCAGATCCAGACGACGTTGTCGGCTGGGTCGAGCTTCGCCTGCACGACGCGCTGGAGGCGTTTGGCCCATGTCCGAGTTGGTAGATGGCGCCTTGGATGTGGCATGGGCTGGGCGTCGCAGCCTTCGCCGTGCGTTGCAGTACTTAGAACAGTATTTCTCAGCCGGGGTAATCAGCGTTGATGGGCCCCATAACTGCGAGGACCAGAGGTTTGTTTTGAGTGCGGATCCGTTGGAGCAGGCTCTCGCCCTCCTCTAGCGTGTGTAGTGAGATGCTGTTGTTGTATGACGTGCCTTCACCGTCCCTGTCGGGCGCTCTGGTGACGGCGGCGTTCCAGGTCTGCGCATCAAGGCTAATGGGAGGGGTCGTGCGGTTGCCCTGGATGGCTTCGGCTTCGACCGTGGCACCTGCTGGTGCGGTGCCACGGTCTCTGGACAGTCGCAGGCCTAGAGATTGACACCAACACCAATTTCGGCGGTGTGCCTCCACCGAGGGATGAAGATCCCGATCTCGGTGATGGTGGTAATAGTCTGGCTTCCAAGGTGGCCGAAATGTTACCACCAACACCGAAATCTAGGATCATCTTCCCCCTGTGGAGGCACCCCCCCTGTGTTGGTGTTGGTGCCCATTTCCAGGCCTCCAAACATGTTGTTCGTGATGGAGTGATGCAGCATGGTGTAGCTGATCTTGCTCTCCCCGCACAGTCTTCTGAGTTCGCCGGAGCCTTCGCTGCTCGGAGCGATGTTGTCGATAAGTGGCATCGGGATCAGCTTGGGTGCTTGTGGGCGAGTTCGTTGTATGCAGCGACTGCTCGGTCGACGCCGCCGCTGCTCTGGAGTGCGGCGACGCAGGCTTCCTTCCGACTGGAGTTGGTATCCAGTCGATCTGGTAAGGTCGCCTTTTGGCAGCCCTTGCCTGGTGGCGTGGGCAGCCGTGGTGCAGGGGGGAACGCGGCGAGAGCCTTGCGAAACCATGGCGCGCGCGTAGATACTGAATGGGAGATGACACGAATCATGCACACGTGGTGATGGCGTGTGTCCAGTCTCGTCATGTGAAGAACCGTGATGTTGACCGCTTCGTGTCGTGGCTGCGCCGTGGCTCAGAGACCTTCGAGCCGAAAATGCAGAGAAAGGGAGAGATAGGGAGTGGAGCCGGCCACTGGCCTCGAGAGTCTTGGCGCGCCCTCGCAAGTACGGGCGGCGGGGGCCTGGAAGCGTGCGGGGCTGACATTTCCCGGTGTGGCCGTCGGTCCCAGGT